ACAAGCCTAGACAGCATGACCCCTGCACACCTGGATGCTGGAGCCTATTGCTCCCAGGCTACGAATCAGGAGAGCAGGTCAACCTACTGGATACTGAGGGCAATAATGTCTGTGTGTACAAACATCTAAACCTAGAAAGGGTCTAGCAAAAATCCTAGGAGTTAGGAATTTTTCAGCTCCGTTATAAAAGCTTAGGCGACCGCCATCATGTATGCTCACGAAAACTGACCAAACACAGCCAGACGGTTGTGACTGTACTGGGGCCAGCAGTGAGGTGGACCATGTAACTGAGAATTTGGAGCCAGACAAGCCACCTGGGCTATGTCCTGGCTGCAAGGTCTCATGCAAGCCACTGGTCTTCTTTTAAGCCTTGATTTCCCTACCTGTAAATTCCACCAGAATCCTGAAGAGTTACAAGGACTAAAGGTCACATTTGTTTGTTTGTTTTTAAAAAAAAGACCAAGTATTGGGGAACCCAAAGCCTTTCCAGCTTATAACTAGGAGGCAGGGGAGTACCATTTGGGGGACTGTGTGAAGTGATTAGGAGGCAGAGAAGATGGGACAGAGAAAAAGGTGGGAGAAGGGAATCCTAAGGCAGACCGGCGGGGGGYCTGGCTGACAGAGCAGGGGGCAGAGGAAGAGGCCAAGGACAAGAAAGCCCAGGCTGGGCAGGACCTTCCGCCAGAGGAGGTGACCAGGAAAAGCTGTGGCTTGGCAGGCTGCTGCCGGTGGACAGGAGCTGAGTTGGGAGAGAGTGGACTCCCAGCTCACTTCCTCCTTGGCATGAATTWAAGGGACATGGATTCAACAGCCCTTGATGGCTCCTCTCCATTCACTCCTGCCTTTGGGTCAAGCTACTCTTTCTTTGTGCTGTCAACCTTGGGCCCTGTAACAGCTGTCAGCGAAGTCATTATCCATGACAGGGATGAGGAACGGAGGGGGTGAGTGTGTCCGTCCAAGCGCCTTCTTACAAGAGGCTRTGGAGATGGCATGGAGTCTCCTCCATCCCAGTGAGAGGGAAAGTGCCTCTCATGCTCCAGATGGGAGTGCACSCCCTGCTCCCCACACTCACTGTTCCGCGCTGACCCAGGGCCCTTCCTGGCTTCTGCCCGTCCATCAGGATACCAGGAAACCTGTCGCAAGTCCCAGCTCTGAGTAAAAGGCTCAGCCCTCATGGGCTCCCCACACAAATCTGGGAGTTGTGCTCCAAGTAGGCCATTTCTCCAACTGGGGACACAGACACAGCACTGAGGACCAGTGTTTGAGGAAGGGCCCGAGTGCCCGGGTCAGGTCTGAGAGGTCCCYGAGACTTTAGCCACTTTTCTGCTGAGCGTGGAGTGAGCCGTGAGAGCCCAGCCCGTTCTACTCACCTTCCCGAGGGCCATGCCTACAAACATTCCGGGGCTGAACAGATCAGTGGACAAGCTGAGAGTGTTTGGGAAACTGGAAAGCAGGGCTGAYATTATTGGAACCTGCGAGCTGCTGCTGGAGCTGCTGAGGGTGGCTTGTGATTAATAATGCCAGGTGTGGCTATATCAAACTGTTACTCTGATTTATGTTGGAAAATTTGAAAATACAGGCAGGTGAAAAGGAAATCAAAGCCCCTGTCACCCAGTCATCCAGAGACAACCAGAGACAACGCACGCTGCCCTGCCTTGTCTRGTCTTTCCTTCCACACACATAGCCATGGGCAGCTTTTCTACATGGGATGGCACGTGCTGTTTGGTATTGGACTATCCACATGTCCAGGACACAGCCCCCTCCACACCATCACTCAGGTTCTCAAGCTTCTTTTTTTTAAGATTTTTTTTTTAAGATGGACACGTTATCTTTACTATATTTATTTTATTTCTTTTTATGTGGTGCCAGGAATCCAACCCCAGTGCGTCACATGTGCCAGGCAAGAGCCCTACCACTGAGCCACAGTCACAGACCTCTCGAGCTTCATTTTTTTTAAATATTTTTAGTTGTAAATGGACACAATACCTTCATTTTATTTGTTTATTTTTATGTGGTGCCAGGGATTGAACCCAGTGCCTCACGCATGCTCGGCAAGCGCTCTGCCACTGAGCCCCAGCCCCAGCCCGCGAGCTTCGTTTTTATTAACTGCCCACAGTGTGCCSACAGAGACGTGCCCTCTGCCAATCTGTGCTGTTGTGTTGCTTCATACCTGCGATTCTGCAGTGCTAACCACTGCCCACGGTCAGAAAGGCCAAGGTCGAGCTACCTGGAGGCTCCTCATTAAGACAGAAAAGAGCACCCTCCACCCTCTGGAAGGCTGGCCAGTGTCCTGGTTCTTCTGACTGGTGTCTGGGCTGCAGACGGCAGCCCGGCCATCCACCAGGTAGGCTGAGGACCTGGAAAAGAGGACTGGCTCTGTTTCCTAGGGACATCTTTGGAGGCTGCGGTGCTTTTAAAAAAAAATGTAGAAGAAAATGGTTTGTAATTGTTTGCTAGTCTCAGTGGCAAAAAAAAAAAAAAAAAACAGAACCCTTGATTTCTAACCTCCTGCGGCATGGTTCAGCATTCCTCCCAGAGTCAAGCAGGAAGACGCTGGAGCGCTCTGATTATAAAATTTGCATGTTCTCCTAGCTGGTTACYGTGCCAAGGGACATTTCACATCACATTGTACTGTTTGTCAAAAATCTTTTGCCCAAACAGACCACTTCTCAAGATACTGCTGATGCTGAGTCTAAACAAACACAAAGGTAGAATTTAAAATACTGAGAGTTCCTAAGAGGAAATATAAAGAGATTGAGGGGCAGCCACTGTCCGCTCTGAACCTTCAACGGGTGATCTGGTTCAGAGCCCAGGTAGATAAATGACGGAAAAACAGCAGAAACAAGGCTGCAAGGTGTTGATTCATGAAAAGCGCCTGTTCAGCATGCTTTCAGGGAACACCAGCACTGTTAGGCCAGGTGCCACAGGAGACACCGAGACATGAAAGAGCCCCCATGTCCACATTCAAGGAGCCAACAATCTAAGAGAGGAGACAAAGGTGCCAGCGAATGTTGGAAACATGGTGTGACAAGTCATGCCTGGGCACCTGCAGGCTAGATGCAGGACAACACAGAGCTGTGGCCCTCTGCCTGGTGTCTCTGGGAAGACTTTCGGATAGGAATGTGGGGGCCATGGTGGTGCCAGGGGATTAGGAGGAAGGGAGAACAGGCAAAGGGAGAACAAAATGGCTGGGGGTTCTAGGGACCCCCCCTGGTGAGGTAGGACTGAAATCCAGCTGGGTGGAGCCTCCCAAGGTGAAGCTGGTGAGGTCCACGGGAGCTGGATCCCAGGGCAGCCGGTGTCCTRAGAAAGGAGCAGGGCTTTGCCACCAGGGAGAGGAGCTGTTGGGTTTTAAGCAGGTGTGGCTCTTCTGATTCACATTGGCAAGCCTCTTTCTGGATGGCACGAAGCTTCCCAGATTGGAGCAAGGGACAAACTAGGAGACCTGTGAACATTCCAGCAAGAAGTGATTTGGTCTCTCAAAAGACAGTGACAGTCCATGGAGGGAGGAAGCCATTCAGGTAATTATTAAAGAGATGGCACCAACTGGCTGAGGCACCAATACAGTGGGGAGTGAGGGAGGGACAGGACAGAAGAAAGAGAGTAAGTAAGCTGCAGAGCAAGACCCTGGGCATACTGAAAAGGAGTCCAGGGAGGCAGGGCGCAGGAGGCCTCCCTCCACAAACCCGGGAAGACAGCACAGCAGTTGCAGAAACAGCTTACAATACCTGTTGGAACAGACTCCTGTGCAGGAGGCAGGCAGGTGAGGGGGTTCTTGGCGTGCACTCTGAATGGAGCAGGTACAGTACTGAAGAGCAGGATGGGGGCAGAGTCACAGCACTCTAGAAAGCTGAGGAAWGAGGACTCAGCCTCCAGCACTGAAAAACAGTAATTAGCCAGAGCCCCGAGGCCAGCTGAGACCAAGGCCAGTCCCCTCAAGCAGTGCTTTCCCAGCCCCGGGCTCAGCCKCCAGGAGAGCGAGAGGAATGAACTCCAGGTTAAAGGGGTGGCCATCTTTTGCAGGGCATGGAAGCCTCATTGCAATTCAAGGGAACTGAAGATTAAGAAAGGGAAATCAGTGACCCCAGTGCTGCCCGGGGATCAAGGAAAGCCAGGAAGGGCTGAGAGACAGAGGTCAAGGACTCAAGGCTCATTAGATGCCCACCCTCGGACGGAGCAGACTGAGTTTTCCACCAGGTACTAGGCCATGAGGTCCAGCCTGGGCCTGCCTGGAAACAGCCACCATTCAAATGGCAGTCAAGGTGTCAGGAGTGCTTCCAGGGGCAGTCACTCTTCTGGGAGAGGCCTTGGCAACTCGGCTCAGGTACAGTCTAGGAACCAGCAGAAGACACCCACCTCTGGGGGAGACAGAGCCTCACATGGGGGCCTGGAGCCTCAGAAGGTTGTTGGGGAACTGAGCTACAGCCCAAATTCACAGTCCCATCGAAGAGAGTCTGTCTGGGATAAAGGTCGCCCCACAACTGGACATGGTTCTGTTTCCACCTGACCTTCCAGCACTGTGTTGAGGACATGGCCGTGTTGCACTGAGTCGGTGCTCTTGAGGGATAGATAAATTATCCATGGGAACAGGAGGGCTCATGTTGGTTTCACTCTCTAAGGAACTCCCCCTAAATCTGAGACCACCAGACCCTGAAAGTCCGGGTATTACAAGGAACGCAGGTGACCAGTGCATGGAGAACTGTCATTCGTCCACATTACTTTCCCAAGTAGCACCAAGTTTTAACTCTGAGTTTTTACGAAAGGTCCCAGGCTATTCCCGTTTTGTTTTTTTGTTGTTGTTTTGTTTTGTTTCCAGATAGTTTGAATTCCTGTGCCCTTTGCACTGGAGACCCAAATTCATGGATTTTCTCAGGCTCTTGGTATTCAAATGGGCTAACCCGCGGCGTAAACTCCAGCCTACCGGCGGGCAGTAGATAGGGGGCGGCAGGGGTGTGTGTTGCCCCGTCTTTCCCCTGGTGACAGCCTTGGCCTCCCCGCAGGTGCGCGCAGGCGCTGCTGGAGCATGGTGCCTCGGTGCAGCTCCCGGGCGGCGCGGGCCGGGACACGCCGCTGCACGTGGCAGCGCAGCACGGCCTGGACGAACACGCACACCTCTACCTAGGCCACGGAGCGCGCGTGGACGCGAGGAACCGCCGCGGCGAGACGGCCCTGAGCTTGGCCTGCGGGGCGGCGCGGAAGCCCGACGAGCACGCGCGCTGCCTGCGCCTGTGCGCGCTGCTACTGCAGCGCGGCGCGGCGGCGGACGCGCGCGACGAGGACGAACGCAGCCCGCTGCACAAGGCCTGCGGCCACGCGCGCCACAACCTGGCGCGCCTCCTGTTGCGGTACGGCGCGGACGCGGGCGCGCTGGACTATGGCGGAGCCTCGCCGCTGGCCCGCGTGCTGCAGACGGCCGCCTGCGCGCCCCAGGCCGCGCCGCAGCTCACGGTGCAGGCACTGCTCAACCACGGCTCCCCCACCGTGTGGCCCGACGCCTTTCCCAAGGTAAGGCGAGCCCCAGCTGGGCTGGCATGCGCCACGATGGCCATCCGTGGCCGATGGCGGAAGAGCATCCCCAGKGAGCTTTGCCACGCAGAGGCTGGACTTGGGAGCTGGCTTTGCATGCAGGCTTTCAAACTTTGACGGGCCCAGGCCCCCGGGGGGCGATTCTGGGATGGAGGCTCTGTGTTTCTAACAAGCTCCCAAGTGAGGCCGAGGCTGCTGATCTTAGGACCCCACTTTTTGAGAATCAAAGGCCTAGAAACTTCCTAGTGGTCAGAGTCACAAGGAAATTAAGAGGTTGGACTGTAAGTAGCATATCAGAACATACCCTTTCAAAAGAGTAACGTGGGGACCTCTGGCGTTTATTTCAATGACGTTATCACGACTCAAAACACGTTGGCGGTTCATCTTCTGGTGTTATTTTCTGAAAGATGAAAAACTAGTCTCTGTTTGCATCTGGTGTTTGATCTAAAACGAAATTACCCAGCCTCCTCCTCCGCCTTGTTAATGATAGCACTTAACACCCTCGCAAATTCCTCTCCTTTAGCCTCTTCACACTGGTGTGAAATTCTCGGAGRACGATGTTGTCCAAACATCTGTCTACCTGAGTTTCCATACGTCAAGTGCCTCCTTCTGGGTCACAGCTGTGTTGAGACTTCAACTCCATTTCCCAGGTTCTTTCTTACCTTTGTAAACTTGACATCCGATYCACCTGTCAGATCTGCCCTGAAATAATAATGATGAAGAATAAAGATTTCTCATCAGAGAAAATACCCAAAAGGCAGGGAGTGTTTCCAAAAGAAGTTTCCAAAATGTTGTTTGGAGTAGGAAATTGCCCTTCCCAAAGACTTCATTGAAGGAAATCATTTCATTGGATGTAAAATTTTTGTGTATTTGACATAAAAATTGATCTCATTACCCAAGAGGAAAAGCCATAGGCAAATGACATATTTTGGACTGGCACGTTTTTAATAGATATCAGGAAGGTTGTTACCCAAAAGAACAGTATCTGAAACAGTACAGTTCACATATTTCTCTCAATGCTAACTCTGCATTACAAATGCATTCAGGGTAGAGAGTATGTCTACAAAAGGAAAGGTAAAAGGTGGGAAATCCACTGAGACCAACATGATGTCCCTTTATGTGACCAACATGATGACCCTTTTCTGTCACTATCTCCCTAAGGTGCTCCTCCAAAGCATTTCAACATGGTAGACTCTTAAAAGGAGGAAACGCCAGCATGCTTGCATTCTCTGATGCCCTTTGTGTTCATAATTTAGCCCTTAACCTTTCCCATTACTAGCAGGCTTAGTTCATCAACCTGTGTTATAGAAGCAAAACTCACCGCTGCCCTGCCAGTCACATTGCATCTGCATTAAACCATGACGTGCACTTCAACACTCCTTGTATGACACTGCATACAGAATGAAAGGAGCAACCTTATAGGATGAGCCTCAAGTGGAAAATACATGGAGCCATTTTTAAAGAAAACATTAGGAGTCAAAATGTGCCAGTAGCAACCAGGAATAATCCTTCATTAGCCTTGATGTCGTTTTAGTGCACATGATCTTTGCCCAGGTTTTCAAGTTTTGAGGGCAGACTCACAGCCATCCCCTCTAGAGACCTCTAGTGCGTGAACTCTTGTCTCCAAGCTACAGGAAATACCCTGCCTTGACCTAGAGATGAAGGACAAAGCCTCTGGCCCATCTTCAAGACTCTGTTCTGGATCCCCAAAAATATGTCAGCCACACATGACTGGTATATAGTCAGTGGTCCAGCTCCCTCTGCCCAGCCAGGCTGGGGTGAGTCCAGGTTTACCAGGCAGTGAGAGGTGCTTGGCCCCTGGTCTAACAATAACTATCCAGTCAATTCCACCCCAAAGTGGGAAGATTTGGATTTTTTTTTTTTTTAGAAATCTTTAATATCTTGAAGTTTCACCCAAGCGTGGCCACTGCTGCCTACTCTGTGCTCAGGTGGTGCAGACAAGGCAGCCCTTGATCAGGGATGTTGAATGAATGCAAAAGTTTCCAGCAACTATAGGGTATGCAGCCGCCTTTAACCTCTGGACAATCCTCACACTTCCAGGGGGTGCCCCCACACCTGGCCAGGAGCAGCTGGTGGATGGGGACACATGTACCACACTGAGAATCCTCCAAGCAAAGGTAGAAGTGCCTGTGACATTCTAACCTTGCCCCAGGACAACCAGACAATATGCTGTGATCTGGAGGTGGCATCTTCCTCCCCCAGGCTCCCCGAGAGTATCCCACTGGGGAAGGGGTCTAATCACGCACAACATCAAAGGGACAGGCCCAAGAGGGCTCGGCAGCCTTGGCTAGTGTCCATAAACACTCACACAGGCCACAGAGACGCTCAGCAGACAAGACTCAGGCGCCACGGCGGGGCAAGCACAGGCCACTGGGAATGTCACAGAGCACGCAGCCAGTGGGCAGCAGCCGTACTTTAAATAGATGTAAAGAGACACCCGTGGAGCTCAGAATGACTGAGGCACAAAGCTTCACAGCGAGCTTGGGACATAAATCACCATTGCCCCACACCAAGACAAGGACACCTCCTCGGCAGCAGGCAGACACAAGGATCTGCCGGAGCCCCGCTCAGTGCTCCGTGGAGAATCAAAGGTATCCAGGCTTCCAGCCATCCTGTTGACAACGCCAGGCCTCTCTTCCCCTCTGAGCTGCAGTTCACACCAGAGGCTGGCGCAGGTGGCCAGCTGCAGCACCATGTGGGCTCTGGAAGGTGTCACACCAGGTTAGGGTCAGGCCTGGCAAATGCCGGCAGGAGGGCAGAGATGGGCCTGAAAGTGTTTGGCACCTGCCACAGGCCCACCGTGTGGACTGGATGCTTGATCTGGATAAAAGAAAAGGCTCGAGTTTCTCTCCTGCGCCTTCCTACCTGGAAGGCGCGTTCAGAAGCCAGTAATGAAGCCCAGCTTCCCCTTCTCCTTGGCACCTCCCACCTCTTTGAAGAGCACATTTTTGGTTCAATCTCAGAACACAATTTTGGAGCCACAAAGGGAGGGGTGCCCTTAAGTCCAGCCCCCTCCAAAACTGACATGGTAGACCCATAGTCGCGGAGCTGGGGGGTGGAACACCAGAACCCTACCAAGTTCCTTCACCTAGAATCACTGCCCTCCCCTGCCCCCTCCCCCTCCCTGGTTCTCAATCAGTGCTTGGATTAAGTGGCCAGTCTCATTTGCTCCCCAGTATCACCCAACCACCTCCACAGAACTTGTCATTTGCATTCACCATGTGTGTGACCAAGCATTCTAGCCCCTCCAGCCCTGACCCTATGTTGTACTGCTTCTGTGACCTGTGGAGCAGAGGTCACACTGAGCAGCAGAAATGTACCTGCAGAGGGTCATCAACAGTTCCTCCTGGGACATGACCAGGAGTCGGGGAAGTGCAGGACAACACCACGGTGAAGGTTCCCCAGGCCGCGAAGTACCCACTTCGGTGTGGGTGGTACTGGTACTGGTGTGGTACTTCCCGAGGGCATCCTTTGCACATTGAGTTATGCGTTCAGTGGGCTTGTCTTGGGGACTTCTGGGCTGGAATTAGAGAGACCACACGTGTTCCCGGCCCTCATGGAGTTGCCTGTCTTGTGAGCTGAAAAACCACACGWGCCAATGCGAAATCGCTGTGGTGACAATTGCCACATAGCCAAGAGCAGATGGGGGCTGGTCTGGTGGGGGATCAGAGGCTACACCGAGACCCAGCTATGTGAGGCCTCAGGGAAGGGACTTGTTCCAGACGGAAGGAACAGCAGGGACCAAGACCTGAGCCTGGACAGCCAGGCGGAGGCCTTGCCGTACAGTGTGGGATTCTGCAGTAGTGCACACCCGTGAGCCCAGCCCCAAGAGAGGCTGGGGATTGCAAGATTGACGCCAGCCTCAACAATTCAGCAGGACCCTGCCCCAAAATAAAAACAAAAAGGGCGGATGATGTAGCCCAGTGGTAGAGCATCGCTGGGTTCAATCCAAGAACCAAAAACAAGAGTCAAAAACTGTGGGAATCTACTCCATCGTTTTTAAGCAGAGGAAGTGCCATAATCCAACTCATGTTTTAAAACGAGTTCTCTGCAGTCCTGTAGAGAAGATGCTGGAGTAAAAGGCAGAGGGAAACCACTGGCCGTTGTGGAAATCCAGATGAGGGGTGCACTTGGCTTGAACAACGGCGGGTGGAGGTGGGTGCAGGCAATGACAGACTCTAGAAAGATCTGGAAAGCCCTGGTCTTGCCTCACCTGGATGTTGACAATGCCAAAATAGGGGCCTTAAATGTTGACATTTTCTTCTTGACCTAGTTACAGAATCAGATCAAGTGACTTCACCTATTTACCCCAGTTTCACAGGATTTTAGGGGAGAACCTAGGATAGCAGTAGTCAAAACCCAGGGCCCCATTTCCTGTCTTCACAGCCGCGTGCTCGGCTCCGGGGGAGGGACGGCCATCGTAGGAGCGCCTCTGTTTTCTTGCCCTTGTTTTATTTCTCCATCTACATATAAAGCAACGTGCCTGTGTGATTTCTCCCCTTAATTTTCTCTCTGCCGCCTCATTAGCTGGAGAGGGTCTGCGTGGACACTAATGACATCAGCATGTCAGAGTAATGTGGCAGCCGCCTCTCCACAGACAGCAAGGAGGCAGCGGAGATTTTTAAACTGTGTTGGCGTAAAAATGATGAAGGCAGCCAGCTGCCTGGCAAACAGAGGGGCACAGCGCTGAGGGGCCGGGAGGGGCGGGGAGCCCCAGAGAGGTGGAACAGCGGAGAGACAGAAAATGAATTCCCAGAGACAGGCAATAAGACTTTGTCACAGTCTGTGACCCGGGGTGGGGGAGGGGTGGTGCTCTGCCTCTGAGGGCAGGCAGCTCTTCCCAGGCGGGGGACCTTCGTGTTCCGTGCTGTCCCTGGGAGCCATTTAACACTGCGGAGTAGTGACAGGGCCAATTGGGGGGTCGCTGGCAGGGCGAAGTTAGCAAGGGCTAAGGAAGG